CGTCCAACCCCTCTCCTTGCTACTTGCATTGTGCTTATCCTTTTGTAGTATTGAAACGATTTGGCATCAGGGGTCGCTCCTGTGGATTGTGGATGAATCGTTTCTCCGGGATGGGCTTCACTGGGCTTAGTAGTTCCTGGGGGGTTTCAGTGCTTACGATGTAGTTTCGCCGTGGCTTCACGAGCTATCAGGTGTACAAGACACCCAAGACATGAGATCAAACTTTCGCTGTTGCCTGAGTCATTATCCTTGGTGTTCATCACTTTATTGTGGCTGGCGAGTTTGCTTCCGTTCGGATCGCAGGTTGAACGTGATGAATGGCAGCGTAAAGCAGATGAGGACGGTTTTGCAGAGAGAGTTGAAGCTCGGCAGGTGTGAGGCTCTTGGCTGCTTCTTGGGGTTCTTTGGTGACCTTACCCTAAACATTATATACCGCCCTGAGAGTACCCTCCAAACCCGCTTGAGGACCGGAAGCCTAGCCAGACCGGTCTCCGATGTCAAGTAATCCAATGCTATGCCCAATATGTATGTAGGTCCGCTTGCAGATAGGGCCGGCCACTCTATTGCATCCTTTGAGTACATTACCAGCACCAGGACTCCAGCAAGTGGCTGCAGGCCGCTGGGATGTCTCAGCTGCAGCTTCAGAGTCTCAAGAGACAGCACGACGTGACCATGTCAAGTAAAGGTTTAGAGCCTAGGGCCGTTCAGGGTTGATGGGATCTTTCGGACCGCGATTTGGCAGTCAGGTTTTGCAGCAGTTGGGGTCCTTCGATTTCTATGACAGCCACGAGGGGTTGGGCCAGATGATGGGGTTATTCGTGATATGCTCGCAGTGATGGCCGCAAGAATAGCAATCAGTACATAGTATGCAAAGCAGATAGCACTTGGCAACCATGGAAGCGCACGGCGAGGAGGGTTTGGCTTTCCAAGAACACCCGGTGTTAGCCGAAAGCGATGCAAGGAGTGAAGTACAAGAAGGAGAGAGATAGCGAGACACACAGAGACGGACAGAAAAGGTGAGACAGGACAACACCAGAATACAGACACAAGACAGGCAAGAGTGAGTTGCAGCCGGGCAACTGCAAGTATTCATCCGAAACTCGTCCGGAAGGCCGGAATGCTCGCCTTCAAGCATGCAGTGCTTCAGCCGAAGTTGCGTCGCGAGGGTGGTGTCCCGTGGCAGCAGGAAGTTACCATGTTTGCACTTGTTGAGTTCTATGGTTTGTAACCTATACCCTAGACACGAGTTCGTACGAACACGATGTTCTGCAATTCTCGAAAACGCAAGCCTAGGGCGTGGGAGCCAGCACTCATGCACTTCGAGCTTAGGATGTTGGGGTTTAGTCTTGAGGGCCCCGTGGAGTTCACGGTTTCGGGTCGACAGCTTGCTGGGAGGCTGACTGACGCCTCCACCAGGCATACTAGGGGCCTAAACGATTACCAATTATTCTATTTTTGGGGCTCCTTATTATAATTATAGTATAACCTGCCCAAAACCCTAGTCCATTCATTAAGAGACCTATATTGGGTTGTCACCTCGTGATTCGACAGCGGTGATGACATGTCAGGAGTCGTAGTCGATTGCTGGACTGCGACAAGAGATGGTAATAGCAATGGTGAATGGTATGAGTATTTTTTTTGCCAATTCTACTGGTGCTATAAGTTTTAATAAGTAGTAGTAGTAGTAGTAGTAGTAGTAGTAGTAGTAGTAGTAGTAGTAGTAGTAGTAGTAGTAGTAGTAGTAGTAGTAGTAGTAGTAGTAGTAGTAGTAGTAGTAGTAGTAGTAGTAGTAGTAGTAGTAGTAGTAGTAGTAGTAGTAGTAGTAGTAGTAGTAGTAGTAGTAGTAGTAGTAGTAGTAGTAGTAGTAGTAGTAGTAGTAGTAGTAGTAGTAGTAGTAGTAGTAGTAGTAGTAGTAGTAGTAGTAGTAGTAGTAGTAGTAGTAGTAGTAGTAGTAGTAGTAGTAGTAGTAGTAGTAGTAGTAGTAGTAGTAGTAGTAGTAGTAGTAGTAGTAGTAGTAGTAGTAGTAGTAGTAGTAGTAGTAGTAGTAGTAGTAGTAGTAGTAGTAGTAGTAGTAGTAGTAGTAGTAGTAGTAGTAGTAGTAGTAGTAGTAGTAGTAGTAGTAGTAGTAGTAGTAGTAGCAGTAGTAGTAGTAGTAGTAGTAGTAGTAGTAGTGGCAGTACTAGTAGTAATTAGTAGTAGTAGTAGTAGTAGTAGTAGTAGTAGTAGTAGTAGTAGGAGTAGTAGTAGGAGTAGTAGTAGGAGTAGTAGTATAGGTAGGAGGAGGAGCAGGAGCAGGAGCAGTAGCAGCAGCCGCAGCAGCAGTAGAGGTAGCCGTAGCAGTAGCAGCGGCAATCGCACTATCAGTAGCAATATGAGTAGCAGCAGTGGTAGCCTGTATCACAGCAGTGGAGGCGATATTGTGCATGTGTGTGCGTGTGTGTGTGTGTGTGTGTTGGTTGTGTGTGTGTGTGTGGTGATGGTACTTGCACTTCTTCCTTTTGTCGTCTTGGATATTGCGAGTTGAATCTTGGTTGGTTTCTTGTAGGGCAAGCAGTAGCAAAGACACAGGTAGCAGCAGTAGTACGGCATCAGAAGTATTTGTTAGTTGGCAGATTCTGGCTTCTACCGCCACCACAGGAAAGCCGTCCACCATCGCCGAAGAAGAGCCTTCCGGCAAGCTATTGGGGAGCTAGTGGAGTTAGAGACATCAGTAGATCCAGGTTTGCGTGGGAACGTCGCTGAAACTTCGAACCGATTCTGCATTCTAGTGACCTGCAGGTTGCGGCCGGGATATCGGGTAGGTGAACGGCCATACAAATTCACAATAGGGTTTTGGGATGTATTGTCGAATATTTCACGCATTACAGTACTGATGCCATAGCTATTATGACCATTGCCTGTGAAAACGCATTAGTCATTGCCCATATCGACCGCCTGCTTGCAGTAGGCTGAGAACCTGTACATGTTTGGTTTGCAGTCTACATGGAGTTGTACTCTCGTACACCCCCGCAACCCTGTCCCAACCAGATAAGGCTCCTGTAGTAGACGGGTTGCTACGTTCTACGACTTTGGGTTTGCTTGGCGACTTGACTGAGGTGGGATTTTTTTTGCGATTGGAAGGTGGTTTGGCATGTGTAAAATGGAGACTTTTTGCAAGCAAAGATACAAGTAACGGTCATGCTTTGGTGTGGTCATTGTTTACTCCTTCAAAGGCCTGGATAAAGACTGTAGCTCCCACAGTGCGGGCATTCGGCGGTGCTGCCTTGAGTATCAACTGCACAGAGACATGGCTTCAGACTCGGAAGAAGCAACCCCCTAACCCCCTCAAACAAAAGAGAAGGAACAACAAGCTTAAACTCATAGTGAGTCTCGCACCTACCCCTAAACCCTAAACCCCTAAACCCGAAACCCAAAGCTCGAAACCCTAAACCCGAAGCCCGAAACCCTAACATCAGCTTTTAACGAGCTGGAAGAGAAGCTACCCCGCGGGATCTCCGGCGGCTCAGGCGAAGCTTCGAGGTCTCAGGTCTTTTGAGTTATTCGTAAGACTACCCCCAGGGCTCTAAGGACTCATATATTAAGGCTTTTGGGCCCAAAGACCATACTATATGCTGCTTTTGGGATAGTTTGATCCCCAGGGTACCTTGAGGCTCCAAAGTAGTTCCTTTTTGGGGGTTCATATTTAGAACGCTATAAGGTAATCCCGGAAAGGAACAACTATGGAGCCTACGGGTAGTGATGAATAGACATAGCAATACTTGCAATAATCAGTAGTAGTGGTAGTCATTCTCACAAAAGTAGCAGCAATAGCATCCGGATATCCCCCTGAGACGACGCTGCAGCAGATGTCAGCCCAGGTGCAGCCAAGAGTCGCGCTTCGGCCACAGGCCATTCCATTCGAGCTTCAGTCAAGAGCCTATCCCTACTACTGCTGCTGCTGCTGCTGCTGCTCCTGCTACTCCTGCTACTACGCTGCTTCCGCAGCAACAGCGGCAACGGCAGCAGCAATAGGGAAACGACAACAATGCGAGCCCATATTTATTGCTATCACAAGCATTGCATTCATTACCACTAACCGAGTTCCCAAAGCAGGCACAACCAGCGCTCGCCGGGCGTCGGCGGTTGGGATGTCCTCACCAGGTGGAGCTTGGAAGATATGGGCAGACATTGGGCCTTTCAGGGCTCAGGGTCTCTTGCAGGGCTGAATTTTTGAAATGCTTACGGGAGTAAGGGCTTGCAGGAGGATCTGGGGGTTCGATTTTCTGGGACTCTTGGTTCAGCACTGTATGGTCGCAGAAGTTTCAGGGTGCACGATGTTTGGTGCTGGCCGTGAGTCGCATTTTCCCTGATTCCACAAGTGCTTGCAAAGTTGAAGCTGCGGAGCTCTAATCTCACAGGGTGCGGTCGGGGCTTGGGCTTGCAGTCTGTCTGAGTCCGTAAGCCCAAAGAGAAGCCCTCGCGTTTGATGTAGGTGTCTGCCGGATTCAACAGCTGTGAGGCTTAGAGTTAGGGCAAGGCACGGGCAAATTCAAGCGAGGAGGTCCCAAGGATACTGGTGACATGAGCACAAGCCATCCATCACCACCATAGTGATGCCATAGTATTCAAAAAGATCGTTCATTTCACGCAGTGTCTGCGGCATTCATGTATACCACGAGCTGAAGGCAGTGATGCCTCCTATCAATGGAAGCGAGACAGGGGCGAGATGTGTGGGGAGGAGCCGTTGAAGACTTTTGAAGCAAATTTGCAATTGCTCTGGGATCTGGTTTCATGCGATCGACGAAGCCTACGTTTTTGCGGCTGCAGAAAGCTAAAAGGCGGAGCTTCGAAGCTCCTCCCCTAGGCGTTCAAGTTTGAAGGTCCCCAGGTTTGGCACGGAGAGTCTTCGAAAGGCAAGCTGGGCACCATCCAGGCTAGGCAAAGCTGCAGCAATCGACCTGCCTGCAGGCGTTACAGCAGGTAGGCATGGCAAATATTGGTCCGTGTGCAAAGTGATCAGCATGGCACTCGCTGTGCCGTGGAATGCCGAGAAGATTTTTGTGGTGGACCCTGCAACTGGCCAGGCTTCGGCCATCGACCTCCCCGCAGGCATTGATGCAAGCAGGGAGCAGAAAAATGTGTCCGTCTGCAGCGTGGTCGGTAAGGCGGTGGCAGTGCCGTTTAATGCTGAGAAGATTTTGGTCGTGGACCCAGCAACCAGCACGGCTTCGGCCATCGGCCTCCCTGCCGGCATGAATGCAAGCGGTGTGTAGAATTTTTGGTGTGAGTGTGAATGGCCAGGTCGTTGCCGACAAGGCACAGCCTGCCAATTCATCCTCAGCCTGCATCATGGGAGTTTCCGAAAATGGGGGGGCCTGATATGGTACCCTGAATAGTAGGATACTTATTATAAGGACCTTAAATAAGGTACCCCAAATTTTCGGAAACTCCCTCATAGATCAGTAGCTCAACACAGCTGTCACAAGCTCTGAAGAAGCCGGCATCTGCTGGGCATTGCTGTGACAGCAATGAGTTTGTGGCAGCCGTGTGCCCCCGCAACTCGAGCATGCTGCCATGCAAGTCAGTCCATCCAGTGATTCAGCCTGGCGAGTTTGGTTCGTCCGTCAAGATCGCAACACTTACCGCTGATTTGCCCACTGGCAAATTGATGTATGTCATCTTCGAAGGCACCGCGTACATTTTGGATATCTTAAGCTGGAATCTGGAGCTGAATCACGTCATGACCCTGCCTGCCTCGCGATGGAGCGCAGAAATACCTCAATGTCTACGATCGTAGACATTGAGGTATTTCTGCGCTCCATCGCGAGGCAGGCAATCTTTCATCCCGTAAGACAGGAAAGCGCCCACGAAGAGCGCGAGCAGCGTCTTCCAACAGCTAGATGGTCCAAACCAAACTGATCGACGAGCTGGGCAGCATCGAAGGCTTCGTTGCCTCGCAAGTCGTTGCTCTCGCAGCGCCAGGCTTCCAGTTGCTGGAGGATTTTGCCAGACGATACCAGCATTTCGCAGAGCTAAGGCAAGTCGCTCGCTGGAAGGAGCTCGGGCTGACTCCAGAGTGTCTAAATATCTACGTGAATGGGCTGTTCGACGCTTTTGATGACAGCCGACCCGAGTGCCATGTTCGCAGAGTCGAGCAGTCTCGCAACTTGAGCGCAGCGGTGGAGAGTTCAGCCTCAGCCATCCCTTCCTGGTTCAGGCTTGGGCTTGGGTTCTTTCGGTTGACTTTGATGAAACAGGTCGGCATGCGCAGTTGTCGGAGTAGAAGCTTGTAAAGTGCGATGCTCCGGAATGCTCTGGCCCTGTAGGGAAGGCTACGGGGAAAGCCCTTGAGTCATGTAAAGAAGACCTGCATTCCATGATCGGCAGAAGCCAGCAATAGGCTAAAGCCAGTTATGCAGGCATGCGCTGATGTAGCTTAGCATGATGGATCAATCTTTGTACACCTTCAGATCTCATGCAAGCTTTTACGAAGTACATCTTGCGACTTTGTTGCTTGGTCGGAAAATTCGATAGCAGTGCGAAGTTGGGGTTGCTGCCAGAAATAAGGACATCATAGCACAGTATTTCCTACAGATCCCACTTTACAACTTCCCTTGGAGGCTCGAGCATTGGGAAGCCCCTTTCGGGCAGGGCAGAGGCTTGAGACTTCAGTCAGTTTGGGCTCTAGGATCTAGAGTCATGGGGTCCTGTGTCTCTTTTCCAGATTCAGGTGCCAGGTTCGAGATTCGAAGCTATGGCTGTTCGGTAGGATTTTTGATGTTTACGAGGCCAGGGGCGGAGTTGAACTAGCGAGGATATATATACCTGATTTTGAAGCCTTCCCTTTCGCCCAAAGCATTGACTTCCTGTGCTGGTTAGGGTTGATGTAGCATTCGGGCCAGAAGCCCAACATCCTGCGGGCAGATACGGCTTCGGGGTTTACTGTTTACGATTGAGTTCTGCGTCTCCTCTTGTGGGGCTTAGGGTATATGGGTCGCCAGGTAGAAAGGGTTTAGTTTAGGCCTGGTAGTGTTTGGGGGCTTCTGGCTTCAGGTTCAGTTCAGAAGTCTTTGGATTTCACAGAGGACCTCAGGACCTACTGCCATGCAGTAACCTACACTGCCCGTACACTGCATCCTATGTTCCGAGGTTTGCCTAACGTGTTTTAAGGGGCATTCACATGCAGACGAACTCTTCGCAACACATCGTCTCGACTTGCCATGCTGTCCAGACCAAGCGAAACTCCCTAAACCCTGCAGACCCTATCAGCTCTTCAACTTTAACCCCCCCCCCCTGCACAGCTTAATCCCAAGCCCCACAGGCCCCAAGCTCCCAAATGCCGTCAGCCCTAGTAATGCCAAATCGCTGGGCTGTAATGCCGAGATGGGACCTCCGCCCCAGGCACACGACGGGTATCCGGCGCCGGCCTGGCCCGGCAGACATCGCCAGGCAGGGGTTTATAAGGTCACGCAAGGTTAGGGTATAGAAATCAGGGCTTGGGGCTTAGGGTTTGTAAGCTTAGGGTTTAGGAAGGGTCTGGTTCAGTTTCAGTCGGTTGCTATAACGGTTGTGGGCTTCACAGAAACGCCTTTAATTTTTGTTTCCTGTGCAGCATGAGGACGATTCTCATTGAGGCTGTATTGGGTTCTTGTGAATGCATTTAACCCTATTCCCTAAACCCGAAGCCCTTTTGAGCTTTGGCCAAAGATTGACACAAGCTGATTTAGGATTCGGCGTGGTTTCAGGGTTCGAGGGAGGCCCTGAGTTTCTCTTCGAGATTGGCCGCAACAAATCTCCAGTAAGTTTCTGAATGCTGGTCGCCCTATGTACTAGTTACTAGTCGACCTTAATCCTAAACCCTGAAGCCCCAAGCCTAACGCCACAACCCCCAAACCCGAGTATGTCAAGCCGAAGCTGTTGTACAATCCGAAGCCCTCAAGCAATCACCCGGGTTAGGGTTTTGAGGTAGAGGCTTGGAAGCCTGACACTCGTAAAGCCGTAAATACCTTATTTTATCAAAGCCCTGAGAGTCTAAACCCTGATAGAGCCTGCCGAACTCCCCTACATAGTGACAGCCGCAGCGCCTGAAGCGCAAAGCCCTTAGCCAAAGCAACCTTGAAGCCAATGTAGAAGAACAGCCCTAACCGAAGCACAGGCCCCAAAGTTGCGAGGGGTGCGGCCGTGAACTTGCCACAGCTATATGAACTTAACGATGGGAAAATATACGAAGCTTAGTGGGCAGCAAGCGGCCTGAAAGAACGGAAGACGAGACCCTAAACCCTAAACCCTCAACCCTAAACCTGGAACCCTCAGCCCTAAACCCCTAAACCCTCAACCCTAAACCCCTAAACCCTAAACCCCAGCTCCAGAGCCCTTGTTTTGACTCTGACTTGTTGTTTTCGCTTCTGGCATTTACCCGAGACTTCATCTTCATCGTCGCGTGGTCTGCTCACATGGGTGGTTGTCAGAAGTGGGGGTCCCTTTTTTGGGTACCCTAAATAATAGGTGCCGCATTATCATAATGAGCCAAGAAGGGACCCTGATTTGGACAACTACCCACATGTTTCGCAGACTGGCCGCCTCTTAGTCTTGCATGTTACTAGCAAATGAACGGTTTTGTCGGTTCCCAATGAAATTCGGACGGATGGCCATCGCAACTCTGCACTCTACAAGCCTTGGACTCTTCAGCCATGACGAGGGTTTCACCTTTGACATTGACAGACAGCCCCAGCGATAATAATGCAAGTAGTGATCATAGAACCACAGTCACAACGTTACGATTTCAATTCCATGGCCATCGCAAGGAGCTCCTTGTTTTCACCCTGTAACCAGGAGGCCTCTCGCCCCCTGTGCGACGGTCGTCAGTGGTGTCCGGCAGCCCCGCGTCACCCACAGGCGGATTGGGAGCCCCAAACTAGGGCCCTTTGTAGTAAGGATCCTCCTATTAAGGCCCCCTTGTCTTTTAAAAAGCCCCACATTCCTAGATCCCCCAACTACCCTTTATTATACCCTAAATACCCAATACTCCTTGTTCAGGGCCATAAGGATTCCGTTAAAGGGCCCTTGCCGGGTCATATTTCGGGCCCTTGATTTTTCTGAAGCTCCCACTCAGCAGAAGGCGTCTTGGCCTTCACGTGGTGTTGGGTGTGGAAGATCAGGTTAGGAGGGTGGCTGTAGGATTGATTTGAATTACATTTGTGTGGTGGGAACTTGTTGATGGAAGCCTAGGTGCATAGCGCCACGACTTGGGCTTGTGTGTTTGGCGTTCAACTGGAAGCCGCAGCCCTTACTCGCACAACATTCCGCTTAAAGCCCTCAGATCCGTAGGTAGTGCAACAACACTCCACAAACTGGTTCAGCAGCTTTTCTTGCACTGTTGGGCTGGGATCCTCGATGTGGTCTGGTAGTGCTGTCATCATCATTGTCATTTTGCGAACCAGGGAGGGACAGAACTACTTTCTTACTGCCGTCGTCACCGTTGCGTTGGCAGTCTGGGTGAAGGGACGTAGAGCATGGGAGACTCGCCAGAGCTTCAGCTAGAAACCCTAAGCCCTAAAACCCTAAACCCTAAGGTTTGCAGGGTTTCGGGCCTGTAGGGTTTGCGCAGTGATTCATCCCCAAGACTTCGTCCTGGTACTTGTAGCAAGAATAGTACCACTATTGCCACTATTATTGCCATCATTATTTTTTCCCATTCTTACTACTATTACTATTAGTATTAATTACCATTGCTCTACTATTATTACTATCATTTATGTTTATCATTCTTATATACTACTATTACTACTGCTAATATTGATACCGCCGTGGAGGCAGCTCCGGCAGCCCCCGGACTTCGCCACCGAAACTGCAGCGCACGCGGCGGGCGAGCTTAGCGTAAGAGGTTCAGAAGACTGGGCAATAAGTACTTATATATAGTATATACTATTTGGGGAGTTCCTTATTATTGTTGTAGTATATATACTCCAAAATCTTGTTCTAATTATTGAGGCTACGTTAATCATGTCCCCGGGGGTCTGGGGGTAAGCAGATAGGGAAAGAAAAAACTCAATGCCCTTCTAAGGGTCTTGGGTTTAGGGTCAACCTTCCCCGAAAGGGGTCTATGGTTTAAGTGTTTAGCGAAATTACCTCTCACATTGCCCGAGAGGGTTCTAGGGTGTAAGGTTTGGAAAGTAAGGCTTAAGGCAATCAGCCATCGTATTCCCTTATAAGCGGTTCATTTTTTGGCAAGGCTTACTGGCAACCCTGCTTGGGTGCGCATTCAAATTTGGGCTGGTCAGAAGGACCCTAGACGCATCCCCAAAGCCTAATAGCCCTAAACCCAAAACTTCAAGCCCTACCAATCGTAGGTCGTAGGAAGACTCAACCGGCGGCCCGCACTCAAGAAAATGTCCATAGTCTTGGCAGCCAACGCAAGACCAAGTCTTTGTCGGCTGCATCACATGCGAGCCCGCAGCTAGCGCAGGCAAGTGGGGAGAGGTAGGCAGGGTTCTTTGACATCTTCCACACGGAAGCAGTTTGGGGCTGTGGGGGGTAAACGATTCAGGCAAGAAAGGATCGGTGGCTTTTCGGGGAGTTCCAGAACAGCCGGGGACATACCTTCTGTGCTCTTCAGCGCAGACTCCTCCAGCCCATGTTCTGGTTCCTGTGGTGGCTCATATAGGAGTCGGAATAGTTCGGAATGGTATCTACTTATAGTTCCTTTGTCATTTTACTATAGTGTCTCCTGCTCTAGTGATTCTAATTGCCTCTAATGATTATTCAAGGCTCCTACAGTAGCTCTGTCCATGGTTTTAGAGACCAGCTCCTCCATCCCCATTCAACACAAGCCAACAGATGCAAAGCACCGGCCTTACACCGGATCGTCCGACTTCTCATGCTAAGTTAACCCTAGCCCCAAGCATGAAAACTGAACTGTAAAGCCTAAAACCCCACAAGCCCAAACCCCAAGCACCCTGCTCACATGATTACCTGCCTCCCAAGCTACATTCTGATCTACATGAACCCTAAACAGACCCTGCACCACACACCCAGCATCCCTAGGTCGGGGTGTCGGTTTCGTAGGCATTAAAGGGGGCTTCGAGTTCGGAGAGTGGAAGCATCAGGTTCGTTTAAAATCTAGTGTAGGCAGGTTTTGAACCCTCTTGACCCCAAGTGTTGATATATTGTAGTGTATTGTAGTACATTATACCACATCATGTTTGGCGTATTGTACAATATTATAGGTTAGGCCGGGTTTGGGGTTCAGGGTTTACAGACAGACAAAGAATCTGGCCATCAATCCTCTTTGGCCCAACATGGGTCGATGCGGGCAAAAGCGTGAAATTTCGAGGGCGGCCGTTGGCAAAAGATGCGTGACTTTTCTGTGCTCGGAAGGTTGGGGGAACGCTTTGAAACGGCGCCCGGCAGGGGATCACCACTACCCATGCGGGACGGGAGTTTCATACAGGCCTCCCTGATGACGCTGTACGCAAGATAGCAAGGGGAGGGATTTGGCCCGTAGCAGCAGCCCGCTCCGACACTCGGGTGTGCTCCTCCCGGTGCAGCTGCACTTCTACCTTATACGCTGTCTGCTTGACCAGCCTCGGGACTTTCCGAATCTCTGTGTCACTTCTGTTGCACCCAAGGAAGACTCCCGTGGCAAATGACTGGCAGCGGGAACACGAAGTTTGGAAAGTCGAAGTCGTTTTACGAGTGCTCACGCGGTGATATAGCTCAAGTCTATAAAGCTGTGAGCTGCGCCTGGCACAGACGAGGTCAAATCATGCAGAACTCATCGATTGTGTCCAAATCCCGTGGGAATGGAGCTCAAGCAGCCTGTTGTTGGCGTTGTGTTCCAAACTGGTGTTTCGAGTTTCAAGTTATCCGTTGAAGAAGCTGGGATAGCCATGTTCGTCTGAGTTTGGTCTCCTCGTTTTGCCGGGTTTCCATTTGCAGTCGTTTGGCTGGTCTTGTTGTGCTGACCTGTTTTGGTGTGTTTCGTCGGCTCAGTTGCATCAAGTCTGGCTGCCTTTGAACAACAAGAAGCGAGGACAAATTTGTGTGTGTGTGTTGTGTGTAAGGCTGTGAAATGTCTTCACTTCTGCTGATGTAGAAGAGAGAGACGGACCGACAATCCCCAATGTGTCCAATCTTGCGAGGCAAATGTCTGTTGATCATCAACTTTTGCAAAACCCATTCATTTTGATAGGATGCCGGTGTAGTCTGCGGGAAGCCGTTTCCTACCAGAGACCGTTTCCTTGAAGAGGTCGTTTCTGTGCAACGGCTGTTTCCGGCATTAGTCAATTTCTGACCAGACGGTCTTTTTCAAAACTGGGGTGGCTTTTCCTACGGCAAGAGTTTTTTGCAAGAAACATCTCTCCATTGGCAGTTTCCTACCGGAAGCCTTTCACCCTACAAACCCTAAGCCCGGAACTGTCGGACTCTGACCTGCAAAGCGCGATGCGCCGCTGCCTCAAAGACAAGGGTTGCTGGACCAAAGTGGCCAACACCCGAGGGGATTTGGTTTCGGGTTCAGGGTTTAAGGTTTGGGGTTTGGGTCCAGGTTTAAGATTTAGGGTTTAGGGATTCCCGTCTGATCACCCATGTCAGCCCGTGCGTTCTTCTGCCAGTGCAGACAGGTCGAGTTCTGAACAGATTAGGTTGGAAGCCATGGTGCGACAGCAGCTGAGTGAGACAGACTCTGCTCAGCTCGAGAATGCCCCGACTTCGTGGATGCAAGAAGCCCTGTCCAGCGACCAGATACTGTACGTGATTTTGGCTGCGCAACTTGCAACTATTTTTGAATTTGTTTGCGGCCTTTTCAGAAGTTCAATGCTAAGAAAGGGATAAGCTTATCTTGGGCGCATTGCCTCTTGAAAACCGTCTGGTCGGCCTGTACAAACATGTCGAACTAGCTCATCAAATATTCGATTTAATCATTCGCATTTGTCGGTTACATGCTTGCTTGACTTTCATATACCCAATACCCTAAAACCTAAAACCTATAAGGACAGATTATCGTTGGTAGTTGAAGTTGTTTGCGCAATAGTAGATCGAAAGGCCTTGTCGATGTCTTTAAAAGCGTGCATGTCCCACTTGAGGGCATCGTGCGGGTCATCTACTGACTCGGAGCCCCAGTACGGTGGACTTTCCCCATGAGTCGCGAGTTGATCAGGTCGCTTCTGATGCTTCTCATCCGAGTGATGCTCATGGCTATTGACGGTTTGCGTGTGACGCACTCCGATGCCCCGCCGGTCCGTGCTGGACCTGGTGCCAATGCTCAGCTGCTTTGCTTTGCAGGGTCCAGGGGAACAGCAAACACCGGAATCCTGTAAGCTGCATGAGGCTGAGCACTCAAAACCCCTTGGCGGTACAATCGAAAGTCCGTTCCAGCAGTCAGGATTTGAAAGATGGACAACCCGACAGGATATCCATAAAGCCATCCGACATCACCACAAAGCCTGGCAAACGCTCAGGTTTCTGATCTTTGCGGCCGTGAACGTGCTGCTGCAGCTCCTTGGCTTCTGAGAGTGGGAGGTCCCCTCTCAGTGAATCCAGTAACACTTGAGCTCACAACTTTGCTTCTTACCTGTTGGACGTTGTAGAGTGCTTGGTGTTTGCATCACACTAAGCCCCAACCTCCAAACACTGTGCCTCCGAGGCTTTTCAGCACTCTTTCGCAGGGGCTTCTGGCCGTCAAATGGATCTTAGCAGGCCGGTGGTCGTGGAATAGAGCATGAGGATGTAGGGTTTAGGGCTCAGGGGTTCGGGCTTCGGAAGTCGGGGAGCTCAGCTATTCCCAGCAGCTCCATATCAGTGCTTAGGCTGAGGACTCCGATATTGCAGCGCACGCAGTTCTTTCCTTCCTGTTGTTTCTGGACTCGAAACCATAAGCCTTGAATCCGAAATCCTAAACCCTAAACTTGAGGCCCCAAACCTTAAATCGACCCTACACCCGAAATGATAAACCCCTCAAGCTTGAATCCGAAGCCAGGACAGCAGGTGGGGCCACCTTTGATAGCTTGCTTTGCCATCGTGGCAGCCGACACGGAGCTGCTGGTGTCTGCAGGCTTCCGAAGTCTTGGTGTTTCTGCTTTCCAAGTTTACTGGTTGAGGTGGAACACAGAATACATGTATGCATGTAAGTAAGTATGTATGTATGTATATATATGTATATAAATAGATATACACATCTGTATATGTGTGTATGTATATATACACGTGCATGTATGTCTGTATCTATGTATGCATGTATGTATGGACTTACGTAAGTATGTATGCATGTATGTGTGTATGTTTGCTTGCTTGCTTGCTTGCTTGTTTGTTTGTTTTGCATATACATGCCTTGTGTGAATAAATCAGTATGTACGTATATATATATATATACGCATGAATGTATGTGTATTTGTGTATGTATTTTACATGTACATTCATGTGCATGTGCGTGTAGACGCACAGGCAATGCGTCCCAATCTTGAAGGTTAAGGGCTGTGAAGTTTGTCACCCCACCTTCAGTTTCTCTTCGCTGCAGGTCTGGCTGCCCATCTGCGATCGGTACTCGTCAAAGTGGGGATCCAGAGAGGGGTGAAGATCAAGTTCGCCTGTATGGACCACTTGTTAGGGTCACAGGTTGGGAAGACCTGTTTCTTCTTTGCAGCAATCTCCATGGCAGTGCTCATTCCTTTCCTGTATGACAAGCCGATGATCCTTGGACAGCAGATAAATCTGCCCTGACAGTTTCAGAAATCCTGCTGCGCCTGTGCAGCAATCTGAAATCCCTGCGCACTATCAGGGGCTAGAGCAGGAGATGCGCGCGAGCACTTCAAACTCTCCGCCTGCAACCTTGAGACTCTAAGCCACTCTAAACAGGTCCTAAACCCTAAGCGCCCAAACCCTAAACCCTGCGCCCCAAAACCCGAAGACCTCAAAGCCCCGAACCCTTAAACTTCAAATCCAAAACCTAAAACCCTAAAAGCCTCAACTAGATCCTAAACCTTAAACTCCAACACCCCACAAAAATCCTGATCCATCCTGAGCCTGAGCTTCAGGAACTCCAAAGGAGCGCTGGGAACCCTTGAACCCTGAACCCTAAACGGTAAACCCCGAACCCTAAACCCTAAACCCGAGGAAGCTTCTCGCCTGGCTGGGGACGAACTTCGGCCTCCTCCTCTGGGCCAACTCCCAGTTCAAGAGCATCGGCCTGATGTCCGGCGAGGCCGCAGAAGCCCTGAAGCCGAATCCTTAAATCCCAAAGCCAACAAAAACTTAAACTGTAAATCCTAAATCTGAAAACCCCAAACCCTAAACCTTAACAACTAAACCCTGAACCTTGAATCCCTAAATCCCGAACCCTCAAGCCCGAAGGGAGTGAGCAAAATGGAGGTATATATTAGCTTAAGCTCTAAAGTACACCCAAACCCCAAATCCCTACACCCCGAATGTCTCAAAAGCCTAAACCCTGCACCCTAAACTGCCCCCTAAACCCTAAACCTGAACTCTAACCTCCAGGCCGGAAGGCCTTTGCTGTCCGGAAGGTGTGGGAGGAGCTGAAGCCTACACAGACCTCGGCCGAGGAACTAACGGTAGCGGAATTCCTGAGCCAAGTGGGCCTGGCGACTGCCGAGGACTTTGGGAGAGCGTGGAACGTCATAGTTCAGGGCCAGGGTTGGGTTGCGGGCACGCTTATCCGGCGAGTGACTTGTGAGGTCAGAGGCTGTGCAGAGATTCGGCTATAAAATTGCGATGTGCAGCATAAGTGGCGAGTCAGCATGAGCGGTGCAGCAATTAGCATGGACTGAGCAGTGGGCACCCTAGCACTGCGAACAAGCTGCCCGGCTCTGGACCGATAACCGCAAGCATTTCTTCACTGACTCTTTTCTCGGTTAGCATCCAGACATGTCTGGACCTTCTCGCGCTCCTCCCCACGAAGCGAGAATGCCAAGCCCCAAACCCCAAAGAGTCACAATCTGCCGGTCGTCCCTTCTGCAGCATGTCGTGAAGATTTGCCGGTGCTTGACAACCCGCGCGTCTCACAGTCTCGAGGGTACTCCTCTCAAAACCCAAGCATGGGGAACCATACGGGTCTGGACGACATCCGGCAATACCCTTAAGACCCTTCTGTGGAACGAAGACTTGTTATGGCTTCCACATGTATCCTTGGATCTCAGGGTCTTAAAGGAGACCTCTTGGACGGACCGCCTACGCTGCAAGTTGAACCAGGAGGACGAGCTGCTGCTGCGCCACAGGCGGGGACTGATGATGCAGGCATTCCCAAAGCGCACCTGGCTGTGCCTGGTGCATGGCGTCTTGGTTACCTGCTTCTTGCTGCTGAATGCTGCCGTTCCCCTTGCGATGGTGTGCTTCTTGGCGCTACCTGAGGTCAATATAGTCAGTAACCTGTAGCATTTGCCCACCATCGCTCCAGGAAATTGCATTTTGTTGTGCGTGAGAGTTGATGGCTCGGTTCTTCCTCCTGCTCAGGCTACTGCTTCGCTCAATTTCCGCATCTTCAACACGTCAGCGTAACTGGTGGTGAGATAGCCAAATTTGATCCCAAGCAGGATCATCATTTCGTGGGGCTTCAGAAGGACTGGAAGGAAGCTGTGATTCTGAGACTGGGATGAAGAAAAGCAAAGCTGTCTGCATGCCGCTCTGTTTGTTGTTTTGCTTGGTGCCCCCCTTCTGGTCCAGGGCTTCAGAAAACACGAGAAGCCGACAGGGGATCTCTGCTTTGCCTGCCTCTGTTCGGTTACTGGTTACTGGTGGACAGTTCGGATCCATCTGACGGCTCGGAATGGTTATGATATCTTGTGGTGTTGCAGGGCCGTTAAAAGGACAGCGAGCAAGGCAGTGCGAGTCCGAGGGACAGCGAAGGGTGGCGCGAAGGGGGCAGTGCAGCTGTTCGTTCAATAAGAGTGCGGAGTGCAGCTCAAGAGTGAGTGTGTGGATGGGAGAAGGCGAGGACTGACGAAGATTTTCAATTGAGGCTTGTCTAGAGTCTAGTGACATGCCAACCTGCTCGCTAGGGATGGCTCGGACGTCCTCAAGCGCGAAGCAATCAACTCGGTCAGCATGTGCAAGATGTATGGCAGTCTGTCTATAAAGCAAGGCATGCTTCATCGCTCGAGCAAAAGCGCAGCACTAAATCAACACTGGCCTATCGACCCTTGGGGGCCAACCACAGTCGACTCGGGGTTGGCCCCTGTCCAGCGACGTGCAAGCTGTCAAAAGCAAGCAGTGTGTGTGTGTGTGTGTGTGTGTGTGTGTGTGTGTGTGTGTGTGTGTGTTTGGGTGAGGGTATGCGGAAGCCGCCTGCAATGCAAGGAGCTTCGAATTGGAGCTCGGTCAAGCCTCGGAGTTTCGATTCTGTTGGCCTGGCGGGACTTGCTGCGAGCTGATCCCGGAGCAGCGTGCCGACCAGGCTGAGCCTAGTTGCCGAAGCTTCGGCAGATTTCTCACAATCGCAGAAACTCACATGCTCCATGGTTTATGTACAACCTGTGTTCGGACCCATAGGATCTCTATGCTTAGCAGAGGGCGAGTGCCGTGATCGTCAGGTGCTGTTGACAGCGACCATCGAGCCCACCTCTTTCGGCACATGCAGTCTGACTTTATTCGGGATCCGTTCTAACGAGTATCGGTTCACTGTGCTGGCTGTGACAGACATTCATGCCGAAGTGCAGACGGAGACCATTCAGAAAGACTCTTGGCAGCAGATGTAGGCGCATTCCTGCGATAACCTGTGTGGTTGGGACAGCTAGGACCTTTTGCAGTTCACAGGTACGTTTTCCCGGGTATAGAGTCCATTGGCGTCATTACCATGCCGACATTGTCCGGTCCGCCGGCATGACTGATGTTGAGATGAAGGTGGCTGTTGGCGTGGACACGAGCCACATCCGGGTGGAGCCTTCTGCATACTCATGCCATATGAAGACCAGAGAGTGCAGGCACGAAACGGTCGTCTCTAGGTCTGAGAACGCGCTGAGTGCTCAATTGGATTTGGCGGCGGCATCAAACCTTACGTTGCTGCTGAAGCTGCTTCCGAAAGATTCTTCAGCGCCCGAGAATACATACACGGTCAGTATTTCAGTGATTGACATCTTGGACGAGCTGGACAAGATTGGCACGAAGATGTACCAATTGAAGGCCGAAGTAGACAGCATGCAGGACTTTGACACCCCTGCAGCTGCCGATGCCCAGAAACAGTTGCAGACTTTGGTGGAAAAGCGGGATTCGATTCTCCAGCAGGCATATGATGAGAAGCCTGAGGACAGAAGCTTTGACACAATACAGGGTAAGCTGACATTCCTCGCAGTGGGGCTGACAGGTACGGGCAAATCAGAGCTGTGCCGGTGGATGACTGGTAACCTAGAGCGATGCAAGCCCAGCAGCGGCACTGAGTCCAACACAAGCCAGGCAAGTTGAGCCAGAAATCTAGTGGGTCTAGGCTGCCGGGTTTCTGCCGCATCAGGGTACTCCTGAAGCATCCGGGCTGCATAGGTTCTGCCAGGGTTCGTAAGCCTGGTGCCTGTTGACCAAACTGAGCAAAGCTTCCAGGTGATCCGCGTCAAGGGCTGGCCCTTCGATGATCGCAAGATGTCCCCGCAGATCGAGTGGATTGACACGCCCGGCCGTGGGGATACAAGGGGCCAAGCCAAAGATACTGAGCTCTGGAATGAGACTATGCAGGACCTTCGAGATCGTAGTGCAGGTCGCATCGACAGCATCGTCTGGGTGATGAATGCAGCCTGGCAGCGGGGAACAGCTACGCGGGAGATGATGCTGAAACAGCTTCGGCAATCCTTCGGCATACATTTGTACCCCAACTTGCGCATCGTCCTGAACTTTCTGCCACATTCCTCGAACAGGAGCCAGTACTCAGAAGAGCTAGGTGGGCAGAAGGAGAAGTTCACCAGGTGGATCATGTCGGTAGAGGAGAAAATCTTCAATTGGAGCTCCAAACTTCACGATCTTGTAGAGCAAGAAGTGAGAAACCTGTCTGTTTACGGTGTGAGTGTACATCCAAAGTACTATGAACAGAAGCCAGTTGGTCTGCCGCTCGCGGCACCATACCTCAGCAAGTTCCCTCCATTCTCCCACCCAGCTGGTGCAGAGGAATTGTTCAGTCTCTTCAATGCCACCCGGGCAAGAAAGGAGCAGGACGCTGAAGGGTTAGACCCAACAAATCCGCATCCGCGTGTTGGTCCGGGAATCTTGCAGTCTGCTGAAGCTTTGTGCAGCTTTTGTGGCTTCCGCGAAGATGCTAGTCACATGCTGCTTGGTCCAGCAATTGTTGGAATGAGGATGGTGCTCCACAGTTCAAGCTTGACAGAGGATGATGGTGCCGTTCTCCTGCCCAGCAACGCAGAGTGTGGCGATCCTGATGAAAAAGCCTGGCCACCATCTTGGCAGGCCCATATCCGCAGGCCCAGGAACGTGACCAACGACCGTTTGGCATACTTGGATTTGCCTGTGGACCAGAGCGCATCAGAAGAACAGCGTCTTTGCTATTGCGAAGCGCCGAGGTGTAATGAGTCTTGGAGGTTCGGACAGGGTTCCGAGAACCACTTTGAACCTGCTGCTCGCAACTGCCAATCCCCGTTTCTCCGCGTCAATCCAGAGGATTTTGGTTTCAGAAACAGTTGGCAAAAGTTTGTGCAGTTCGGCGATCTCTTGATCGGCACAAGGGCCTCTCCTACGACCTCTCGTCGCGATGAATTCCCAGTGCTAGATGTCAATTCCGGAAAGATCCTGTGGGGGATCAAGTTCGAGGGGCTCGACGGAGACACCATCACTACCGGTGTCAGTTGCCCTGGTGCTGCAGTTGTCCGTGACCTCATCTACGTGTTGCCATCCGCGGGGCAGAGGCTCTTGGTCATTGCAGCCCGGATGATGTTCAGCAGTGCTGTAGTTTGCGGTGCATACTTAATGCCCGTGCCAGAGTAGGCGATCGTTTCACCAGCAGGACATGGCCTCCAACACCACAAGCACCATCGGCAATAGCTCGCTACTCCCGAGGAACAAGTACCATGGCGTGCTGGCAAGCGGTGAGGATTTGTACCTGTTGCCAGGAACTGGCGGGCAGGTTTTGCGCATGAACGTCGTCAGCAACTCTTTCACTACGTACCCGATTCCGTTCAAAGTAACAAGTAAAGTCCTGGGCTCATGGGCTCAAGCAATTGTAGAATCGGAGACTAACAAGATCTTCGCCCTGCCACAAGAAGGGGCAGAATTCATGTTGGTCATGAGACTGGGCAACAAAACCTTCGAGAAGGTTCAGCTCGGCGGTGGGTACAAAAAGAAGTTCGCTTACTATGGCTTGGCTGCCGTGGCAGGACAGGTGTACGTGGGTCCAGGATATATGCAGTGTATCTTGATCGTTGATGCAGTGACGGAGAAGGTCGTCGAGCGGATAACAACCGGTGACTTTGGCCAACATCGGGGACGGTGGTCGTGGGGAGATGCAGCTGTCGCAGGCAGGAATATGTTTTTTGCGCCGCTGTTCAGCACCTGCGTCCTTGTGGTTAATGTTGACACTAGAAAGCAGCGATGCATGGCAGTTCCCGGCTTGATGCCGTCCGGGCAGTCTTTCCACAGTGCACAGGCCATTGGCAACAAGCTCTGGTTGGAACCTTACAGCGCTAAGTATTTTCTGCGTATTGACATCCGGGTTCGCGCAACTACTGCTACCTGCGATGGCGCTCCGAAGTATGTGCTCAACCTGGAGTAGCCAGATCCGCTATTTTGAGAGCTACATGCTAAATAGCAAGCTCCATAGCACGAGGACCTCCCCCCCAAAAGGGGGATCGTTGATTCTCTGAAGCCACCCGCCTTCGTTTACAGAGCTGCTTTGCGTTGGAGGATCTTCGAGAAGGCAAACCAAAGGCTGCTTTAGGGATTAGGGTTTAGGGTTCAGGGCTTAGGGGCTTAAGGATTTCGAGTTTAGGGTTTAGAGCTTAGGACTCAGGTGGGTATCCGCGATGCAGACATGGGAAAATTTTAGTTAGACAGCCGCAATACTTGCGGTTTTACTCCGACATCGCAAGCATGCGAGCCTTGGGCAATAGTTTCTCTTGCGAGAGCATCCACGCTCGAAAAAGACGACCTTTGAAGCTTGTTTCGTGCAAGCTGACTATGCCCTAGAGCCGTCTGATACGAACCTCACAACCCTAAGCCCGACCTGATGTGGGCGGTTGTCAGAATTATGGCCTTTTTCGGTGCCCTAAATATTCCACTGCAGGCGCTTTCGGCGTCGGAAATATTGGGTGCCGTATTATAATAGAGACCCAAAAAAGGACCATAATTTTGACAACCACCCATGTGTCAACCGGTTAATGTAGAAGTCTGTCCGAAGTAGCAACAGTATCCTCTTCTAGTCGCGCTTATGCCTATACTATACACATTACCTCTCTTGTAGTCCCCTTGCTGCTTCTACGATACATTACCCCGAAACCCCCTTTTCTAATCATCCAAGCCGCTCTGTCATCCTAAACTCCGCGCAAACCCCAAAGCCCTACACCGAGCTCGAATTCGAGGCTTCTTGGCCGCCGAGAGTGAGGCCCGAAAGACAATGTAGTATCCACCGGTTACCATAGGTCTACAGGCGATGATTTTATGATTGTCCACTGAAGTCACACAGATTGAAGAGTGGCTCATGATGTTTCGTAGTTAGATGAGACTATTCCCTCAAGAATCATTCATAATATGATATTAAAGCCTCCTTAGAGGGTCGGCCGAAGACTCCTTAGGATGACGCTCGCAACTTGTTCACACATCTGACATGCCATAGCGACTCGTGCTCGATGAGCCCGAAGATCAGTTGCGTTACAAAACTCAGCGCTGAAGTTGCAACACGTCATGCTGTGCGGCTTTGAATACTTGTTTGATCGTGTTGGGGTTGAGTACTCTATATTATACTTAATCTATGCTAAGGAACCTCTAAAACCCAATTCTAATTAGCAAGGCCCCTACATTACTTTGAACCCGTAACCCTTCCTGCAAAGATCAACCCAAGGCTGTCTCAGGGCTCTAGGGTTCCCAGATCAAACCAACAAAAACGCGTACGTGGCTCAAGCTTTGATTGGGAGGCCACGTCGTCAGCATAGTCGCTTACGTGGTTGTCACTTCCTTTCGGTTCTGTGGAGCTTCTGGACAGTATTTAATGATGATTTGTCTTGCCAGACCTACTGACACTACTGCAGCTACGACTAGCGCTACACTACCACTCTTGCGGGTTCTTACCGCTATCGGAACCATCTCCGAAGCTCATCCGCCAAGCGGATCTTGAGCACCCCCAGACGCTTTCCCTTATGGGAAAAGGCACGAAAGAAAGGGAGGGCCGCCGGTTCAAGTGAAGACATGGTGTTCTTTAGCCCCTCTTCGGCAGTAGCCACCTTAAAGGACGACCACATGTGATTATCACGTGCTTCGTTATTCTTCTCGCCCTCTGTTAGACGTCCAAAACGACTTCTCAAGAATCTGTCGTTGCCTGTGGGCAGGCGGTCGCAGTTAGCAGTCGTCGACACCCCTGTGGTAGAAGGCGTTGCAGGAAAGCCGTGCACCCGAAGGAGACTCAACGGGTCCCAGTGTGGCCTCGAAGTCGCAAGCACCTCGAAGTCTCGACCGTAAGCGAGCTCATTATCAGCGGAACAGGACAACTAGCAGAGTAGACTAAGTCCGCTCTTGAGCTTAGTAGACCCTAAAACCTAAACCCTGAAGCCCTGAACAAGAGTGTTCAATTACAGCACAGTCTAAAAAGAATCGGGCCAGTGTAATAAAGGGGCCTTCATATTTACCTACACTATTTTGGGGGTTCTTTTTTATAAGTATAGTATAGTGGGCCCCACAACCCTATTCTAATTATTAAGGCCTCCGTCTAAACCGCCAAGGCAGTGACAGAGCGCCCCAGTGAAAGGAACACCCGCCGTAGAGCGATTCCAGGAGCACCCTTGAGGCTCCCAACACTATACTGTATCCATATCTATATATGTACATATCAATAAAAAAAATATATATAGAGAGAGAGAGGTATATATATCTGTATACATCTTATATCTATATATGTATATATAGATAGATATTATGTTTAGAATTATCGTCTCCTTCTTCAAAGGCATGCCAAATCGTGGATCCTCGGAGACTGCTGTCAGTTGGATCCGCCAGCATTTGGACTCAAGCACACCAGAGAAGTTGCTGACCGTTCCGCTTCCGCAAGTTCAGGTTTGGCGCTGAGATGTCTGCTCGATCATGTGTTGATGCATTCTGTGCGTGAAAATGCAGATCCATGGAGTTGTGCAGTTCCTTCTCGCTTCCATCCCATATTCAATGGCCCCACCTCTCCACCATCCATCCGCGTGCTGTCTTGCTTTAAGTTTAAGTCTCGATCTCTCCTCTCGCCGTGCTGTAGGCCGAAGAGTGTACTTAGTACCCCTAGGCTCCATAGTAGTTCCTTTGTGTGGATCATTTTGAACATTACATTGCAGGATCCTAAGTATTAACCACAAAAAGAAACTACAATCGAGCCATGTGGGAGTTTCCGAAATTAGGGGTACCTTATTTTGGGGTCCTTATAATAAGGATCCTACCATTTAGAGTACTATATCAGGGCCCCGGAAACTCACATGTAAGGTACCCATGGTGGACCTGATCTCCTTCGTTCTGGGTGGCATCACGGTGGTCTGAGCCTCACCTTCTCCGAGCACCACTAAGGGCTAATATAATATAGGGGGCCTTCATAACTAGAATAGGGTTTTGGGGCCCTATACTACAATCACAACAAGGAACCCCCAAACTAGTATAGGTAATGATTAAGGCCCTAGATTAGGGGCCTTAAGAATGACCTAAGATATTTTGGGGGGTTGCTTATCATAAGTAATAAGTATAGTATGATGAGCCCAAAAACCCGATTCTATTTATGAAGGCCCTATATTAGCAATGTCCACACAAGCGTGATCTTCGACGGAGTCTGCCAGAATCCTAGTCTAGTGACATGCTGGAAAGTTTGAGGCATTTGTGGCTTTGGTGGCCAAGATGGGCGGTGACTGCATGGGTGCGGCCCACAAGCTCCAGGCACCATCCAACTGGTGTGCTCTTCACACGATTTGAACTACAAAGTTTGCGTTGTTCACAATTGCTGAATGTGATGTTGGTCTTGGACTCATTAGGTTGTCTTTTCAGGTATCCATCCAAGACGTGGTCAGGACCCTGTGGAATACAGGCACATAGTTCAGCACCACGGTGCATGACAAGGGCGATGATGATCGGATGCCCCTCACATCCATTCCGGCTAAACCATAGTAGTTCCTGTTTGGGATTACCTTATAGGATTCCAAATATGAACCCCAAAAAGGAACTACTACGGGGCCTATGCCTTAGATGCAGGGCCTGTGGGCTGGGCAAGATGATGGGTTTAGTATAGGGGCCTTTATGATTTCCTCTACTCTTTTGGGGGCTCCTTATTATAATTTCCTCTACTAGTTTGGGGTCTCCTTATTACAATTATAGTATACTGGGCCCCGAAACCCTATTCCAATTTTGAAGGCCCCTATAGTAAGACTGTTTTGGCCAACAGAGGCGTAGCTCTCGGCTTTCCCGAGAGCTCGGATCCAAGGGCTCTTAGATTCGAACACAGCTTCTTCAGGGGTCGGTCTAATGAAACATGCTGTTCCTTTTATGGGACTCTTGGTATTAAGAGTTTGCTATTACCGCCCCAAAACCCGGCCCTTACGTCCTACCCCAAATACATCATCATTCGAACTTTCTACGGCTCCTATACACTCCTAGAGCCCTATGTTCGAATTCTTGAGGCCCTTCTAGTGTCTTAGATAGCGGACGGGGGAACTTTAAACTTTTCGGCCTTGTATATTGGCTCTATCTTAGAAAGTTCGAACTTGCTGGGGCCCGGCCCGGTTGTTGAAGAAGAGAGGTGTCCGCTCAGAGCCAGAACATCCTCGGCTTCTGAGTTCGGCATTTGGCTTAGCTTCAGCAGGCATTTAAGGGAGTTTCTGAAAAAAGGGCACCCTAATATAGTACCTTAAATAGTAGGATCCTTGCTATAAGGACCCCAACTTTTTCGGGAACTCCCAATCAGGGTTTAGGGTTTACACGGATTCGGATATGGAGATGTGCAAAGGAGCTCGAACTGACCAGTCAATTACCTCCGAAGACGGTGCTCTGTCACAGGAAGATCCGGCCGAGTTGGTAAATCAGTTCAAGGCGGCAGAAGGCGCTTTGCATGTAAGGGCCATGACGCGTCTGTTGCTTCCTCGTACAGTATTGGAGGGTTGATTGGGCAACCGTAATGCTGGTAGCAGCCGTATATAAGAGTCAATAAACAAATCTAGTTACAGTTGCTTTGGAGTCGAGGGTGAAGGAGAGTGGGGGTTAAAGCATGCTTCCAGGCTTCAGGGCCTTGAGACCGTAGTTTCGGATCTCGAAACCTGGGCCTCTTGCTGCTTTTCAGTCACTCAGGAATCGATCTGACAGTTCAGCGAGAAGGGGTGTAGAATTCCGGCCCTTAGGCTTTTTTCTTGCTTGCATGGGACATTGAACTGAACTTCAAGCAGGGTTTGGGAAATGGGCTTCGCCCGACATGTTGACTGTCTGGCGCTTAGTAGGAAATCGGGGAATGGATCCCTGTAGTAGTCCCTACAGAATCCCCACTAGTAGTCCCAAGAACCCATTGTCCCATTCCCTACCAAGCACCAGACAGTATCCCATTCCCTACTAAGAACCAGACAGTATAGTACCCTTATAGATCCCTTACAGAGCCCCATACAGGGCCCCTAACCCCATCCCTACTAAGAACCATACAGTTGATGTTAAAGCTTTGAGGTCCTACGTGTAGTGGCGGGGGTCGGGGATTTCAGCTTCCCGGACCAGCTCTGGGAAGTAGAACCCGTTGCTGTAGTTCCCACATATTATTAATAGCATTCTTGTTATTATTGTTACTGATATTAATATCACTGTCATTATTATAGCATTAGTATATTATTCTTAAAATATTATTGTTATTATTACTATTATTATCGTTATTATTTCTATGATTATTGCTATTACTATTACTATAATGACCCGCTCCGCAGCCGGCGTGCTCAAGCTTTAGAGCGCCCGTCAGGGAGCCCAGATTTTTTTTGTCGAAGGGCTCCGAGTAATACTGCTCACCCGGCACGGATTAGGGAGTTTAGGGTTTAGGGTTTAGTTTTTAGGTTTAGGGTATTTGTATAATCTGCAGAAGGCATGTTCGAAATTACTTCGGCTTAAGTACGCCTTTTAGACCGAGTCCCGAACACGCAATGATTTGCGTTTACATGCTGTCGGGCGAGAAGGCCGCGTCCCTGTCGCATGGCGAGGTGGTCTCTGCACAAAGTGACACAGTGGAAGCCCTCAAACGACATTTGGGAAAGAAGGCGGGGAATGCCCGGTTGCCTTAGCCATGTAACTTGGTGGAATTCCTTCAGGCTGAATCCTAACCACCTAATAACAGGATGTGCCCATTACATGAGCTCGAGCTTTGTGTTTGTCCTTACTCCACGGGGAGTTCTGATACTGCCGTCCCAACTTTTCAAACGTTCAAAAATTTATACGTGCCACAACAAACTTGACTTCGTAGAGTGACTGTGTGGGCATGAATACGAACCTTCCGAAGATTGGATCTGTCGGCTCCACACGTTCGCCGGCTCTTGCGATCCCTTGCATGGACAATTCTATCCTCGCGTGCGGTAGCTCTCAAGAGCCCGAACTCCTCCTCCTCCGGGTCGGGCGTCGGATTATCGTGTGGGCTCTCTGACTTCGTCGTTTCGGAGCATTGTGCGGAGCACTGTGCCAAGATGTAGCCCAATGTGTCGCTCAGGACTTGAACTTCGTGAGACATCGTTCTGTCTTCCAGCCTATGGTTGTGGATATACGCAGTGCATGTTGACTACATGGGTACGCAGACCACAGTTCAATATTGCACTGCTACCTCTACTAGTTGCGACACCACGTACCCCAAATATTTGGACCAGGGTTTGGACTATTGACTATGGGTATGAAAACTTTAAAAAGCAACGAAACAACGTACATGGGCATCCGAAGGAACGAGGAATAGCCTTTTGCTGATGGTTCACTTCAGGTTGGTGTCCCGTGGCTTCGGCAAAGGTTGCTCTGCAAGGGTGAGCTGCTGCGGGACGATGAGCCGTTGACGCTTTGCTCTCCAAGACCCAACCTATTTAAACGTCTTCAATTTTGTATTCAGAGAAAGTCGTATTCTTTTGTGGTTAAAGGAGCCCTTTTGATTCCGTACACGCCAAACATTTTCATTCTGAGACAGCCTAACCTTTTCTGCCCTTGTGTTATTGGGGCAATAAGGACAAGACTGGACACTCCGGCGGACTTAGAACTCTTGGTGGTGCCATGCGGTCCGCCAGAGCCTTGGCAGCAAGGAGCCCTCGGATTTCAGGTTTCGGCCTGCTGTTTTCTCAGAGCTCATTGCATCAACTTTTCTCCGCAGTCCCTAGACTCTGATAAATCCAAAGCCTTACACCGTAAACGGTAAGTCGTCAAACCAAGCCTCCACCCCCGAAAAAAATCTTAATGGAACCCTTATAGTAACTTGTGTTGTAACCCTTATAGAACCCTTCAAAACAGCGGGAGCACAACCCTCATGGAGCCCTTACAATAACTCGTGTAGTAACCCTTTTGTAGAGCCCTTCACGAAGCTAATGGAACCCTTACCTGTAGTAGCCCGTACCTAGACCCTCCATCTACTCTCTAGTAGACCCTAAGTACCCATTGTTTGGGGCCATATGCCCCTATTTGAGGGCACAAGGAGGGTCCTGGTATAGAACCCATATCAAAGGAACGGGAGCAAGTGCGGAAGCTGATGCGTGCGGCGCGCGAGGGAGCTGTCTCAGATCTGCAGCAGCTGCTACTTGGAAGCTTAGGGTTGCTCTAGAGTTTAGGGTTTAGAGTCTTTAGAGTTTAGGGTTGCTATAGGGTTCAGGGTTTAGGGTTTAGGGTATATAGGTGCCTTAATAACTACCTATCCTATTTGTTGGGGTTCCTAGTATAATGGGCCCCAAAACAATTACTCTTATTTTTTTCTGCCTTACAGCTACTTTTTTCTGTGGTGCCTACGCATTCTATAGTCGGGTTTCTTCTAGGAGCCTACAAGAAAGTAATGTTTAGGGTTTAGGGCTTACCGGTCATCTGGTAGCATTCATGAACTTCAGTGGGTGTCATTGATGCCACATTCCTGATCGAAAGATCAACCTCGAGTCTTATTGGCGTGACCCCCCTGGCGTTTATAGGGATTGAGGACTTTTGACGTTTTGGGATTTTGGGTTACACTGAACCCAGAAATCTACACACCGAAGCCAAAGGCCAAACCCAAGACCTCTCCGTTTTGTCGTTTTAAACCTGGGCTCAACAACTCCTCAACGACTTGACTCCGATGCGGCTTAGTAACTCCTTCTGCTTAAGCTCTGAGCCCTTTGAGCTGTGGAGCATGCACGAGACAAAAGGTCCGGTCAACAGAAACACCTGCATACAAGTTCTAGAGCCCCACGAAGGCTGCGCCATCCTCTGGACCCAGATTCCAGGGACGGTCCTGGTGACAGCACCCCTCTGCAAATCGCATCCTCGGTGGGCCATCTTGATGCTGTCCGACTGCTGTTGGAGGCTCGGACATTTGGGACACATCTCAGCGTTACGGCTGCTCTCCTGGAGCCCGAAACCTAAAGAGACTTCATCCCCAGACCCTCGGCCGAAAGCCTTCTCTAAATCCTCGGCTCTCGCTTGTCAGAGCAGGCTGGTGCCGACAAGGACCACGGTTGCGGCGAGACTCCCCTCCTTTTGGCGGCGGCGAACGGCCATGTAGAGATCGTGCAGCTGCTGGTCGAGGATCGCTCATCTTGTTAGACCATGGTCGCACATGGGTCATACATTGGGTCTGGGGCGCAGTGGTCCGATCCCCGTTACGTACGTGGTACAATTGCTCAAGGACCCCCCGTCTTTTGAAAGCAGCACCCCACCCTATGGAAAGACTTTGACAGCCACGACGTAACCCAAGACCCAAGACCCCAAACCCTGATCCCTAAACCCTACATCCTTAACCCTAAACCTCACATCCTTAACCCCCCAAACCCCTAAACCCTAAAACCCCAAAGCCCTAAACCCTAAAACCCCAAAGCCTGCAGCTGGCGTAGGCCGGTGCGGACCTCGAGAAGACCAGGGCTCTAGGCGCCTCAGCGCTCCTGTGCTCGAGTTAGGGAACTTACTTGAAGGACGGTTGATGATATGGGAGTTTCCGAAAATGGGGGACCCTAGAATAGTACCCTAAATAGTGGGATCCCCATTATAAGGACCTCAAAATAAGGTACCCCGAATTTCGGAAACTCCCATATAAATCCATGGGTACGGTTGGGGTTCCTTTAAAGGGATCTATAAGGGTACCTTTAAGGGTCCTTGAAGGGATCTATAGGGGGTTTAGGGTTCAGGGATGATATAAATCCTGCATTACCCATAATAAGGAATATGCCATAATTCCCATAGTTTAGGGTCCTTAAGGTAATGCAGGATTTATATCATCAACCGGATCATGGGACTTAGTAAGTAAGGTTCCTTTAAGGGTTCTTTCAGGGATCTATAAGGTTTATGAAGGGCTTTTGTGCAAATAATGCGGGTTACTTTTTATGGTGACCATAACTAGGGATCTTTGGTAGATGATGTGGTTTCCTTCTTGTGGCTACCAGAAAAGGAGCCTATAGTAGTATTTTGTTTACGGTTTTCCTTCTTACCTACTGTAAGTTACATCAAAATTCTTTAACAAGAGCCCAGGCTTTGGATTGCCTGCTCAAGGGGCCACAGCAAGATCGTGAAGCTGCTTCTGGAGGATGGGGGGGGGGCATTTCCTGGTCCTCTCGGTTCAAAAGGATGCTGCTTTCGGATACTACAAAGGAGTTCTGGAGGATTCTAAGAGTACTATCAAGGAGTTCTACAGGGGCCTTGTTGTCCGTAGTTCAGAATGTTTCTTTTTCGGGTCTATAAGTGATCCTACAGATTTGTTGTGACGATTTTGAGGGCAGCTACCCTTCAACCTGGAAGCCGCCAAGCTCCCGAAGCCTCGCAGGCCGGAAGCAACAAGAACAAGGTGGGAGTTTCCGAAAATTGGGGGGGTACCTGATTTAGGGCTCCTTATAAAAAGGATCCTACTCTTTAGGGTCCCACATTAGGGTCCCCTATTTTCGGAAGCTCCCAGGTGGACACGAAAGGCTCCTCCCCGCTGTGGATTGCCTGCGCCAAGGGCCACTTGGAGGTTGCCCGGCTGCTGATTCAAGCAGGGGCTCAGAAGGAGAGGGCCAACATCCTCTCCGAATCACCTCTCTGGAAAGCCGCGGAGATGGGCCATGCCCAGATTGCGCAGCATCTCCTTCAGGCAGGTGTGGAGAAGGATCGCGCAGATGCTCGCGGAGCATCGCCCCTATGGATTGCCTCAGCCAAAGGCCACCTGTCCATTGTGCGTATGCTGCGCGAAGCCGGTGCAGATCACAACAAGCCAAACACGCGAGGTGCTACCCCACTGTGGATTGCCTCGCAGAACAAGCGCCACGAGGTCATGAAGGTCTTAAGCTGCTAGAAAGAGCCGAAGGTTCGGCGTCTAGCCGGATCGTTTCCTGCTGGCTGAAAAGATTGCGACGGGGTGAGTGCCGCTACAGGACACGAGAGAAGATATGAGCCTTGAGGTTCGCAGAGACCTGACTTTGCAGCTGCCCCGGAAACCATAACCCACAAACCACCCAAACCGTAAATACAAGCGACCGGGCCCATAAGTTGAAAATTTGCAGGGGTAATGAAGCATGAATATGTGGCATATGCCAAAGGCGACTGAGCCCCCTGAAATTGAATTTGGGATTTAGGATCTCGCGTTCCAGGCAGGTTGTCTAGGATTCCAACGACTCCGCCGGCACTTGCAGGCTCCGGACGAACGATGGAGGCCAAATGTTGCTGAGTCCACGGAAGGACCAGGACAGCTGTGAGCGGTCCTACTCTAGGTGCCTCGGGATTGACAATGCAGCAGATGAAACTAAGTCTCCCACGACAATGTTTATAGAAGGCTTTTCTTGGAGGGAAATCGGAAAGGCTTTCCAGAAAAAGGGCCGGTGTTGTTACGCAGAGCTCAGTGGGGCCGCGACGTCGGGAGTGGCTGGCAAGGCCGTAGTGTGTCAGGGCTGGGAACTCCTGAATCCAGACCTGCAAGAGAGCTGCCGAACCGCCAGGCCCCTAACAGGGGGAAGCTGCCCTAAACCCTAAACCGTAGGTGAAGCTGTTCTTAGATGAAAGCAGGAGGGTGTAAGTTAAAGATCGAGGGCCACATTCCAGAGCTCGTTAGTGTTCATGCGGGAGCTCTCTGGAATCTTCTGGGTACCACGTAGGCACGACCGCACCCACAGGGGTGCGAGCTTCCAGCAAGAAGAGGGCCCTTGAATGCCCTAAGCTCAGAAAAGCCAGAGACATCAGCTGGAGTTTGGAGGTTCAGAGCAGGCAGCCTAAGAGGGTAGCAGAAACCTAACTTAGCTGAATCATGAGCCGTCAGACTTGAGGACTGTACGTGGTGTGTGGTTCGCAGCAAGATGGGAGCCGACAACAATCTCAGTAGAAGTTGCGGAGGTATAGGATGATATTATATGAATATGAAGTCGCATATCTATTGTATTTTTTTATATACAACCCAGATATACACATAAAGTATGTAGGTTGATTACTTAGCCTTGTTATAGACCAACAGACGGGTATATACAGGATAAGCAATCATACGGCTGCTAGATGCATCCTGCAGTGCCGTATCCGAGATTAGGAGCAAATTATGGGACGAAGGGTGGGGAGAGTTCTGTTTGTCGATAGTTGTCCTTGGCAGCTGAGTCTGTTTGATGGTTGGTATCGCCATCAAAAGGGCGAGTTGAATCGCTTCGTCGACATTCGGCTTTGTAGCTGCATGGATTTATCCTTCCCATGCATAAACGCCCCACTTCTGAGAGTCAGTTTTAGAAGGTGAGTGGATACACTTTACACTTTTTCGGATAATGTTGCCCACTACACAAACTGAAAGGGTACACTTTTGGGGGGCTTCTGAACTCAGCAACTAAGCAGTGATTTCCGCAAGTCGGAGGACGATCTTAGGTAGGCCCCCCTTTGCCGGAAGCTCCTCTCGAGGCTGCCGAGGATGGTCAGGTTCCTTCAATTCCTGTAAAGGGATCCATAAGGGCTCCTTAAAAGGGATCCATAACGGCGCCTTAAAAAGGGATTCATAAGGGCTCCTTAACAAGATCTATAACTTGGAGGATCATGGGACCTAGTAAGCATGGTTACAAGTAGGCTTCTTCAAGGGGTGTGCAATTCAAAAAGCATGGAAATTTGAGTGGGATCTGCGGAAAGCATCGCCTTGGAGCCCTCCCTGGAAAAGCTTTAAAGCCACCTTAAAGCCCGAAGCCCTAACCCTAAACCCTAAACCGAAGCCCTAACCCTAAACCCTAACCGTCCTCCTCCTGAGTCGGCTTTGGAGCTGGGGTTTATAGGGAATTGGGGGTTCGGAAGCCTAGGCTTGGGGATTCAGAGTTGCAGTGATATGTAGAAGCCTAAAGCCCTAAGCCCTAAACCGAGCGCGCTCAGCCCTAAAGCATGAAGATCTCAGTCCTAAATGGGAGTTTCCGAAAAATAGGGGTACCTTATTTTGGGTTCCTTAGAATAAGGATCCTACTATTTAGGGTACTATATTAGGGTGCCCTATTTTCGGAAACTCCCAAATCCTGAAGACTTTGTACTGCATGGCTTTGGGAGCATTGGAGCTCTTCGGCTCACGCGGAGTTTCCGAATCAATTATTCATAACACTATCTGAAATTGGATTGCAGTATGCTTCAAAACCTCTTTCTAATACTTCTGACCCTCATCTTGTGGTGGTGTTTCAAGATGATGTGCTTTGTGGCCTGATCCTCTTTGGCATGCCAATAGTCATCTGAACTGATTCGGTCCGAAAGCGACCGAAGTTGTCCCTTCTGCATGGACAGCCACCCGAGAACACCCCCACGATTTCGACCTGGTTGGGCCTTTTGCCTGGTGTCCACGTAGCTCAACAAAGACAAAAGAGTGCTTCAAACATTCATCCCTACGCAGCAAGCAAGCCCTGCACCCTGAATCTGTCAGTGAGCCCTGACCTCCAGACCTCGATTGAGAATCCCTTGCCAAGTCCTCTGTCCACAGGAAGGTGTTCTTAATTGTGATCCTTCTTGGAAACCGTTTCGCATGGAACTGACATGGAAACGTATAACTCGGAGGCAGGCTTGAGGGCCTTCAGCGTGCGACTCCCTCATGGGTATATAGTTCTCTGAATCTGGGTCCCCATAATAGTACGGCACTCTTGCAAACAGAAAGGACCCTAAAAGGGACCATCATTTCGAGAACTACCCAGATGTCTGAAGCAATAAACCTAAACCGTAAACCCTACACCCTAAAGCCTAAACCCGGCGCTTCGCCCCAACCCCCCTTCTAGGTATCGGCCAAAAGTGCCGAAGTTACTTGGGCAAAGGAGTCAAAGAAGCCGCAAGTGACTTGCGGGGTTTGGGGTTTAGTTTATTGCTTAGGGTATGGATTTAGGGTTTAGGGTTTAGAAGCCTCAATAAGTGACTTGCGGGGTTTGGGGTTTAGTTTAGTGTTTAGGGTCTGGCCTTTGTGGGGCTCGGGGGCCCCAAATAGAGCCTAAATCGCTGCCCGTCTCCCGTCTTACTAAGCCCGTGACCGACTCGGCCACCTCCAAATCGAAAGCCCATGCTCTGTCGTTCATTCACAAGGAGTTCCGAAGATTGATTGAACCCAACTCCTGCCCTAAGTAGTCTAAGGCCAAGCTCACCTAGACTCTCCATCTACCCCTCTATTAGACCCTAAATGCCCCTTATTTGGGACCATATACCCCCTATTTGAGGGTACAAGGAGGGTCCTGGCAAGCATGGCATAGTCACAAGGCAGATCATGGTTCCAAGCTCTTGTGACATAGTTGCATGTATTGTCTGAGTCGCACCTTTGACATGGCCCCCAGGGCTCGCAACTCTCAAGGCTAACCCCAACAGGCGCCGCAAGCCCCAACAGACACAGCGCTAGCGCTAGCCGCGCGCGCAGTAGTTTTGCAGCCATTTGTAACAACAGCGGCAGCATAGACATAAGAAGACTAGAAGTTAACGGAGGAGCTGAAGCGTTATCGGTGGCTTTTCACAGGTCACATGAATTCTCTGCCACCGAAATCATGGCAGTAGCATTGGGGCACGGCCGGCGAGTGTCACATGTGGGCTGGCTGTGGCAGTGATTGGCTTCAGCAGCAAGAAGCTTCAACGCCAACATAACCGGACTTGCGGTAAACCGCAGCCCTCACCTTTCTACCCACAAGCCTACTCACTTGAGTCTAGCACCCAGCTCCCTCACCCCCAGTCCGATACCCAGTCTTGCATCAGCTTAGTAATCCGGCACTTTACCGGAGCGTGCTTCGCCATGCTGCTTCGAGGAGAGAAGCCATATCAGTCTCAGGGACAGCGTCTTTCGGATTTAATTACGGTTTTCGACTTAGGTTTTTCAAGTGTTGTCACAACCCCAAAGACCTAAGATGCTCGAAGGCCCCACCTCAGCCGCGGAGATATTTCATATCCGAAACCTGCACTTCAAGGGATCGGCCCTTCCGTTTCAGCCGGGTGCCATGTCAAAAGGAGCCCACATGGGCTTTACTTTTAGGGGCTTAAAGAACACCTATACGCCTATACTGTTTTAGGCTCAGGACACCTTCCAAGCTGCACCGAAAGAAGCAACCTGGCCCCCTCAACCTTGCAGGGCGTAGCATCCATCAGGTTTCCGGCTTTTCTGTCCAACAGGCAGCCATAAACGGCAAGCAGCAGCAGTAAACAACTATAATCAGAACCACAACGTAAAGCAACGAACAAGGAAAGGGCGGCTTGAGTTGTACATCGTATTTGGTCTCCGCTTTCCCCGCACCCCAAGCTGGGCCCCAAGCAGCCCATCTAAGCTCGGCTTCCAGGAGCAAGGGGGCTGGCATCCTCCATTCGGCGGCAGGCGATGGAATGTTGAACTAAACCTTGAGCTCTACGAACCCTAAGAGCGACTACCGAGGGTGACGAGTCGGGGCCCCCTGATAATTTAAGGTATATTCCGTAATGAAGGGGTATTGGGCTCTCTGGGTAGGATGAAGGATCCCTTATACAAGGATTCCTATTTGTGGATTACTGCCTAAGGGTTCCAAACCGCCTTCTCTAGGAGCACTTCTTCTGCTTCAGCAGGCAGAAAATGGCATCCTACAAAAACCAAAAACTTAGGGTCCGGATAGCGCACAAACCTTGAATTGTGTGTTTTGCGACTCGACTTGATTTGACTGGTGCTGTGGTTGATTACCCCTAAACCCTAAACCCGATACTTCTCATGTTCAACCTTCAACTCGAATTCCGAGGCCTAGACTATACCCTCAAGGGCCCTACAGCCGATAAGCTGTAGCTCGGACCGGTCGCTCGTGCTCGTCTTTTTCTCCCTGGAGGGCCCGAATGCCAAAGTGTGGGCTCCGAATATAACAGTACATTATGGTATAGTAC